GATTTGCATATTACACTTTTATTATATAGGCTATTTACATTTAAATAAGTATGTGAACTGTAAATGGTTCCATTTTGTACTCTGGGAAATTTCTTACAGGTTGATTAACCACTTTTTTCCTCTCCTGCAGAACTGGCTAGATCCTGCAAAACAAATAAAGAGACAACTGAGAAGTGAGTATTCAAATAATCATACTTTGAAGTTAATCTTTACATCTATCTTTAAAAAAGTTTTAGGACTATAATAATAAGATAGTCATAGAATGATCAGCTCTATTTTGCATTTGTGTCTTATGGGAAGTGAAGGCTACTAGTGATATTTTTCTGGGATAATGACTACTTTATACAGGGCTTAAGGACTCCTGTATTGTCAAGAGGTTCTAGACCAGGCGTGGGCAAACTTTTTGACTTGAGGGCCACAATGGGTTCTTAAACTGGACCGGAAGGCCGGAACAAAAACATGGATGGAGTGTTTGTGTGAAGTAATATAAATTCAAAGTAAACATCATTACATAAAAGGGTACGGTCTTTTAATTTTTTTTTAGTTTTATTCATTTCAAACGGGCCGGATCTGGCTCGCCGGCCGTAGTTTGCCCACGGCTGTTCTAGACTCACAGTCCTCAGTGTTTTCTCACAGTATCTACCACTTTGAAGTATATTTGACCATTTTCTCTGTAGAAATGAATGAGAAGCTGCTTTTCTGTAACTTTTATTATGTATGTAAATTTTACCCCAGGTAAATTTATTACTTTATCCACTTCATCTTGAAAGTGTATAATTAGTTTAATAAATAAGCATATCTCTGACCCAGAGGCTTATAGATACACTGTTTGTAGATGTGCTGGAGTGAGGACTATGGGGAGAACATGTGTAGAAGGATCTTTTCAGTCCTCTGAGGTCATTGCCTTCTCTACTCCTTTGTCCCACGTGCCACTTAATGTGCTCTTTGAGTCTGGTTTTGTCATTAGTCCTGCTTGGCCCTTTCTTCCGTTTCCCTATTTGTTCTCATCGTGGACTCCCAAAGTGACGTTCAGTGCCCCATCCTAACTGGCTTTAGTTTCCTCTGTGGGTTCTGCCTCTGCAGGTTGACTGGCCTGTGGCTGGTTTTGCCATATCTGTGCCAAGAAACATTCTTGCCCACAGAGAAACCTCTCACAGGAAATCAGTACTTAATGTACTGCAGGGTCGGTGAGTGACTGAAGCAGGAAAGTTAGGGAGCCACGACAGCTGGAACTTTCAGGCAGGAGAATAGATTTCTTAGAGCCTCTGGGCCTGTGGGCCGGAGTGAAACTGAGTGCCAGTGCAGAATGCCCTCTGCACCCTGGGTTCCATTCCCTGCCTTTACTGTTCCTGACCCCAGAACACTGGAGCCAGCCTTCTATTCCTGCCCGCCTACCTTCTGTCCCACTGTAGGTTCTCCACATTTTTCTTCACTTCTTTCCTTTCTCTCTCAAATTATTAATCTTTTTGGTAGTTTTTCTATCATTTCTACTCTGTTTTTCTAACCCCCTTTTCTGTTCTCAGTATATCTATCTATCTATCTATCTATATCTTATTTTTTCTACTTCCTCTCCTTATAGACTCATCTTTCTTTTCTGTTATTTATATCTTTAATTACAATGACCTTTCTGATTTTCCTAGGACTGAGGAACTGAGGGGGTCTCAGGATGTGGGACTTGAACCATAATACCTGGACAGCCCTGGGCAAACTGGGATGATTTGACTACTACCCCTGGCTTTCCATTCCAGCATTTCCCCCCCTTCATCCCTCCTCCCTCCCACCTTTCCTCTCTCCCTGCATTTATTATTTCGGTGTTTAATCTGTGTATGTTTGCTTCATGATGGAGAGGGAGAGGGGGTTAAAGAAAAGGAGTAAAATGAGACACAGATACATTATGCTGATGTTATGGAAGAAATTGCACGAGAAAGCATTGGAGCTTTCCCTGTCCTGTCTGCAGTTACTACTTGCTCTAAAAGGTGCACGAATTCGGAAAGGCACAGATGCTTGCTTCTTTCACTTTCTCTGAAGTCAGAGCTGCCAAGTGACCCACACAGGAGAGAGCAGGATAACCTCTGAAACATGATTGATGTTCCATCAAGTTGTTTCCTATGGCTTTGTTTTGGTTTTGTTTGGTTATCTTTATGTGCCACTCATTTTAGAGTCAAGGAGATTTTCTAACTCTTGAAAGGCAAGACTATTGCTGATTATGAGTCACTCGAGGCCCGGTGCATGAAATACGGCACTCGGCCTGGCCTGCACACTCTCGTAATCCGGAACCCCTCGGAAGATGTTGACCTGCCAGTTTAGGTCTGATCCCTGGGCCTAAGCTGGCAGTCAGACATCCCTCTCGCAGTCTGGAACCCCTCATTCCTTACTGCCCGCCTGCAGTGGAGAAGGGAGAGGCTCCTGCCACTGCTGCTGCACTTGCCAACCCTGAGCCCAGTGTCTGGCTGAGTGGTGCTCCCACAAGGGGAGCATACTAACCACTAGGGGATAGCTCCTGCATTGAGTATCTTCCCCCTGGTGGTCAGTGCTTGTTACAGTGACTGGTTGTTCCACTGCTTGGTCAATTTGCATATTAGGGTTTTATTATATAGGATGGTCTTATGTTTTGATTATTTGTGAAATTTTTAAAAAGTTATTTCAGGACTTTTGCCCTTGCGGTTTGGCAAGAGGAATAATAGTAACAAATAGACTTTGACTCTTTCAGACTATTGTTGCTAGTTCCCTAACTGGAACCATGTACTGTCCCAATCATGAAAACAGGCTGTAGAACTGAAGTTTTGCTGTTGGATTTTACTTCTGTCTTTCTGCTGGTATTAAAATGGACAACAGAACTGCTTGTTCTATCTTAGCCCAGCCTCTGCTAGGATTTATTGTTATTCAGTTAATTGGCAGTTAGCAAAGGTAGAAATTAATCTTTTTTTTAGTTACTTTTGACAGCTGACAACCTAGTGGTTCCTGTGTAAAATGTATTTTAAAGTCTTTGTTTCAAATGTATACAAATGAAACTATGTAGATAATAAGACTAAGACCTAAGTATAAACAATTAATATATGACCAATTCATAACTAGATTGACTTTATATGTAGCTAGGTAAAAATTAGGATAATAATAATAATATGTAATGAAATGAAACATGTAGCATTATTGGTGCATTTTATCAATTGTAGAATTGGAAATATATCTTAAAATATGTGTTCCATTAGAAACGTATCCCTGTAGTCATGTCTAGGCAAGCATGTGCTAGTTTTAATACCTAGAAAACAAATAAGTAGGATCCATTAAGAACTGATGAATCTATGAGGACTGTTAATTATGGGTTAGCAGCTGAAGAAGTGCATGTGCATCCTAGCCAGCATGGTGCTGCTGGCCAAAAAACATGTATCTCTCCATAGCCAGGAAAGTTCCTTTGTGATATTTGTAATGTGTAAAGCAAAAACTGAACTTTTTTTCTTAAATTCAACAGAATTGATTTTATTAGTAGAATATTACTGTTTTGAACCAAAATCCAGCAAAAGTTCTGATGTGTTCACAGTAGCCATTCGTTAGTATGCTTAGTATGCTGATTATTGGCAAGAAAAGGCAAAATGACACATTGGACAAAAGAATGGGAGTCAAAAGAAGTTTTTCTTCAAGTCTGTAAATTAAAGCAATTGTGAGGCCTTCAAATGTGTATGAAATGAAATATTGCACACTTTTTTATTTTAATTTGGAAATACTACGAACTTCGAGCACAACTCTAAATTCAGGCCATTGGAATTATTTGGATCCCTTTGGGAAAATAATACCTTCTCTCGTCCCAGAATTGTGTGTGTTTTTTGTTTGTTTTTAAAAGCCACCTGAAGCATGCTATATTGAATGGTTAAATGTTGATGTATAAATAGATGTTTAACTTTTAATGTCATTTATGACATGGTTGATACATTCTTTTTGACACAATACAGCAAAGTATATGTTACATATAGTGTACTTAGAAAACCTGGGGAATAATTTTATTGTTTTAAAGTATTGTGACATTTACCACTATCTCCTTTCTTTGGGATTTCTTTTAACACTTCCTTCAAATAACCCATAAATAATTACCTGCATTGTTGTAGTGATCACTAGATCATTATCCTTCTTCCCCCAACAGTGTAGAAATCTTAAAATGCTTTTTTCTTTAGAGGGTGGAGAATATTGGTATCTAGAAATTCTGTGGTTAAAACAAATCTTATCTCAGAACTATTCCATGGAAGTTATGTTAAAATTTTTACATAATACATCACCGTACAAAACATTTGTTGAAGTACCAGTAAACATTTATTTAAAAATGTGATCCTATTATTCTTAAATGTTGGGTTATTTATGTAATTGATTTTAACTGTATTTCTTATGTTGTCTTATAAGTGATGTTGTCTTTAAATTAAAAAATGAAGTTCTCTAAACTGATTTATGCAGGAACTAGTGTACAGTGTTCGATGTAGACCTTTAAGTTTTATGAAAATAGCCAGGCCAGCATGGCTCAGTGGTTGAACATCTACCTATGAGCCAGGAGGTCACAGTTTGATTCCTGGTCAGTGCACTTACCCGGATTGCAGGTCCAATCCCCAGTGGGGGGGCATGCAAGAGGCAGCTGATCCAAGATTCTCATCATTGATGTTTCTCTCCTTCTCCCTTCCTCTCTGAAATAAACAAAAATATTAAAATAAATAAATAAATAGTCATTCTGTTGGTTGGATGAATAACCATGATTTAATAATTACAGATCTTCCCTGGCTGTTCACTTTTAATGTGAAGTTTTATCCTCCTGATCCTTCTCAATTGACTGAAGATATCACCAGGTATTTCATATTTACATAAAAAAATGAACCTTTCCTTATACTCTCATTTATTTCTGTGCCCTGAGGTAGTGGTTATAATTTCATTATTTGAATGAAAACATTTTTTCTTAAGTTGAGTTTTAGAAGTACCGTTGGAAGTGGATGTTCCAAAATAGTTTGAAAGGTTGCCAGTTTGAAAAATTTTATTTACTTTTCTTTAATTTATCTTTATATTTGAGTAATGAAATATTTTTAAAAATATTGCTGGCAACTTTATTTCCTATGTTATACTTTAAAAGTCATTGATATTTAATATTTCACATTTCAATAAGATAGTTCTTATTATACAACCTATATGTTCCTGTGAACTAATCTCATATTACAAAGGTTATATAAGGGTAGAAAATGAAATCATTTTTAAAAGTCAGTTGAACTGTAGTTTTTTGTTGCCCCAAACAAATAATAAGGTACACTTTCTTTTTTTTTAAAATGTATTTTATTGATTTTTTACAGAGAGGAAGGGAGAGAGATAGAGAGTTAGAAACATCAATGAGAGAGAAACATCGATCAGCTGCCTCCTGCACATCTCCCACTGGGGATGTGCCCGCAACCCAGGTACATGCCCTTGACCGGAATCGAACCTGGGACCCTTCAGTCCGCAGGCCGACGCTCTATCCACTGAGCCAAACCGGTTTCGGCAAGGTACACTTTCTTATGTAAGAGCCAATAGTATTTCATTTCATCTCCTCTGAGATTGTTTGGAATATACAAACATATGCTTAAATTGCAAATACAAGATTCATTTTAGGAGCAAGACAGCATTTCCTGATTCTGAGATTGGCTGAGTATTTGAATGGTAACAAAGGAACATTCATGTAGCTGCCTGTGCCTTCATGTCTTAGCCCTATTCAACTGGGTACCAGTGGTAGGACTTCTTAGTTTTAGTAAGAGTAAGTCGATTAGGTGATTTGTATATATTTTTAAAAGGTTATTTACATGGCCAAGGAACACTTTTCTATACAGCAGGTCCTCGGGTTACGTCGGAGATCCATTCCTATGGCACCACATAACGCGATTTTCTCCGTATGTCGGAACCCAACTACATGAACACCTGTCATTCACATGGAGCACATACACAGCAGTAATGAAGTGAAACAGTAAAAAAAATTTAAAAGAAAGATAACAATTCCTGACCTTTACTTGTGGTAAATAAACAATAAAAACATAACGCAAATATGTACATATGTCAAAATGACGGGATTTTTTTTTTTATAAATAAATGGGAGATGACGACATAACCACGGAATGACATATGTAGAGTCTGACGTAACCCGAGGGACCCCTGTGTATATGTGTGTATGTATGTATGTATGTGTGTGTGTGTGTGTGTGTACTTGAAGAAAACTAGAGGGTTTTATTGGAATACTCGGCTTTTGATTCTTGTGGACCAGTGTTGTCAAATTTCAAGTTGCATAGGTATGCTTAAGAGAGTGTGTGATATCCATGTAAAATAAGAATTATGGAGCTATCTTTCCAAGATTAGATTAAATAAGATTTTTTTCCCTTTAGTACTTATTGCTGAATAAGGATGTACTGGTACTAATTAAGTTGTGATTGAATTAGCTTCAGCTAGTAAATAATAAATAGTAGCTTTTGTAACTGCACAGTGAGCTGTGTAGAGTTGACAGGTTTGCAGGTATAAGCTACAGAGCCTCACTGCAGGAGTGCCTTTAAACAGTGCAAGTAACTGGGGCTTTGTGACCCAACACCTCGTACATGCACTGCTCCTTGCAGTATTTTGTTTGAGGATGATCATTCTTGGGTGATTGCATCTTATATCATCAGTACTTTCTTTTTCCTTTCAAACTGGGCTTTCACAGTCTCTCTGTGTATGGAGGGAGGAATGATACAGTTTAGTGGGCTAACTAACAGCTGTGGCAGTGCAGCCTGAGACCAGCCACCTTGCCTGTACGTGTAAGCTGGCGGCCTGCTTGTCATGTTTGAAATCACCACCACGACTTGTGTGAACATTTAGAAGGCGGGGTAAGCTTTGGAGGATGGCAGAAACAGTGTTCAGAATAATGTTTAAAGAATGCTCTTTCCTGCAGTGTAAATTTCCCAAGTTGGGAAATTCAGGGAGCTGTTGCAGTTTTTATTGGAAGCTTTTTGTACTTCAAACTTAAGCTTTAAAAACACCAATGGGAAAAGTAGAGATAGTGGAAAAAGTAGAGACAATACTATAAAAGGGAGCAACAAGATTTTAGTAATAGATGGAATCTTTGTGGATAGGCCTTAGAACTCATAAAATGTGGAGAAGTAGCACTGTCCTTGATTAGCCTTAGGGAACTGGAGGACAACCTGGATCACTGCGGGAAGGGAGTGAGGGATATCTGTAATAGTGTCCACAAGAAAAATGAATTTAAAAATGAAAATAAAGTAAGTACAGTGATACTCATGCTGTTCTGGGAGTCAAGGAAACATAATCCTCCTTAGAAAGAGAGCTTCTGCAATGCATAAAAACACTCAGACTGCAGTGATAGTGAGACAACTTTCATTCTCAGAAAATTATTGAGCACCCACCATGTGGCAAATACTTTGCCAGCTGTGGGACTGTGATGATGATAGAGTCTCTGGCCTGCCTGACAGATGTGTCCAGTAATCCTGGTTGAACTGAACTGTGTGATGGCTGATAGCATGTGCTGGGTCGTGCTCTGTGACTGAACAGCAGTGAGGCCTGCCTGAGAGGCAGTGCAGTGCGCCTGTGTGAATGTGTTGGGAGAGGATAAGAGGAGGTTGGGGCAGGGGCACTGAAAGCCATGCTAGGCAAAAGTATCCACATGAAGGTGGCTACCTGCCAGTAGGAATGGCAGTAACTAACAAATCTTCAGAAATGAGAGCCATTTAGTTTGGAGTGGTCGTTAGTAACCTTAGCAATTGATTACATTTGAGCAATCAGGCTTTAAAATGTCACCAAAAGGCGTTTGATACGGTGCCCCCCAAAATCCTACAGAATATAAATAGTGGTAGAGCTGCATAAAACCCACAGGTCTGTTTCCCCATGTTATTTAGTAAAAAAACAGAATCTTTTATAACTGTGTGGTAAGCTACTTGGTACATGGAATAATAATTATTATAACTAATAATACCATTATTGTGATTATGGCTAACAAATCTTGATTCCCAGGATACCACGCAATGTGTTTATATTATGTAATTTTTCACCCTCACTTTCAGAGGGAGGTAGACTTTTTCCCATTTTACAGGTGGTGAATTAACCTTAGGTGAGTAAATTATCTTGCTCAAAGAGTTAGCTTTGCTTTACTATGAAGCCCATCCTTTTTCTACTGCAAACTGAACTAGCTGCCTCTTTAGATGGGGTAAGTGGGCAAGTTAGGGCTTCAAAGTAGACACTAACTTATAATTGTTGTTAAAAGTGTCTCAGAAAAATAAGAAACTAGTATGAAAAGGGTAGAGAGGAAAAAGGGCAGGATAACTTTAACTTTTCTGCTAATGCTTAAGAGCTACCGCTATTTTTTTTGGGGGGGGGAAGGCGGGGGACAAAATTATTATTATTTTTCCTGTTTTTTCTTTTTATTGTTTAAAGTATTACAAACAGTAATACATATGTCTCTTTTTTTTACCCCATTGCCCTCCCCCTGGCCTCTCCTACCCCCCGCTACCGCTATTTTTAAATTTTTATTAATTTTTACAACTTTTGAGGTCATGCTAATTTTGATTAATTTTAAATCCAAGGGGACAGTGATTGGAATTTTTACCTTCGGTCATAAAACTCTTTGTTGTAATAATGATAGTCATAATACACTACTACTGGAATAGAAGTTCAGAATTTGCATTCTATTGCTTAGCTCTCTAGACTCAGTTTCTGTATTATAAGCCACAAGGTTGGGAGTCCAAGGAGCAAGGTGAGCTTTGTATTAGAGAAGATTTTTTTTTTACTAGGGATATGAAGAGTGCCTATATTATATATTTATTTTCAAACGGATTATTAGAACTCAAGGATTATGAGTGCTGCATTCTTAACTACTTGTTCTCTTCAATCCTTTTCTCCCCTTGCTCCTCAGATACTTCCTGTGCCTTCAGCTCCGACAGGACATTGCCTCTGGCCGCCTGCCCTGTTCTTTTGTGACTCATGCCCTCCTGGGATCTTACACACTACAGGCTGAACTTGGAGACTATGACCCAGAAGAACATGCCAGTCATGACCTCAGTGACTTCCAGTTTGCCCCCTCCCAGACAAAGGAGCTGGAAGAGAAAGTGGTAGAGCTGCATAAAACCCACAGGTCTGTTGACTTTCTGGCTGGAGAGAGAATGGCCATGATAGATTTAAATAGCTTCTTTTATAAAACTTGCTAGACATTAGAGCACAGTTGGTGGGCTATCTAGTGTTTCCTTTTGGAACTTCACTTAGTACTAATCAAGACACTTTGCAGTCCTTGAGATAATCTTTCAGGGTCTTCATGACTATAATATGAGGAACTATCTCAGGAGGATAAATGTTTTCATATATTGGAAAAGTCCCCTTTTCTTATGACATCTTTCTATCCCATTTCTATCCCTTGATATACACCTGTATACTTGAAACAAGCATACCCACATATTTGTTTGGCATTTACTGTATGTTCCTTCTGCCCTTTAATTGTTTTTATTACAATCTTTAATAAGAAAGCAAGGGAGATGATTAGTCATCCGGATTTGAATTAGAAACGTGGGTGGGATGTAGGAGAAATGACTGAAATATGCAAGTGGTTTCTCTATCCACAAAAGATGACTGTTGGTTTAGCTAAGGATTACTTAATCACTTAATATCATGTTACAGGTTAAGAACTTTTATATCTGTGTGAAAACAAAATGCTTCTTGTAGCATAAGTTTTAAAAACTCAAGCTACAAAATTATAGTTTGTCCCACATTGCAAAATTGAAATTTTTAAAAATTTTGAAGATAATGATTTGAAAGAAACTTTTAGAGATTAGAAGCTTTTAGACAAACCACACTTATTGACTTTTTCATTATTATTATTATTTTTTAAAAGTCTTCTCTGACCATATGGTATGAAACTAGAAATCAATCCTAAGAAAAAAACCCTGAAAAGCACACAAAGACATGGAGGCTAAATAACAGGTTACTAAACAGTGAATGGGTTAACAATGAGATCAATGAAGAAATCATAAGATATCTTGAAACAAATGAAAATGAGATCACAACAACCCATAAATCTATGGGATACAGCAAACGCAGTGCTGAGAAGGAAATTCATAGCATTGCAGGCCTATCTCAAGAAACAAGAAAAACTCCAACAATCTAACCTTATACTTAAAGGAACTTGAAAAAGCACAATAACAAAAACTCAGTGAGTAGAAGGAAGGAAATAATAAAAAATCAGAGCAGAAATAAATGAAATAGAATCTAAAAAATAATATAAAAGGTCAATGAAACATAGATCGGGCTCTTTGAAAAGATAAGCAAGGCTAACAAATCTTTAACCAGACTCATCAAGAAAAAATGAGGACCCAATCAGAAATGAAAGAGGAGAAGTAACAGTTGACACCAAAGAAGTACAAAGGATTATAAGAAAATATTACGAACAAATATATGCCAACAAATTGGACAATTTGGATGAAATAGGTAAATTTCTAGAAACATACAATCTTCTAAAACTAAATCAGGAAGAATCAGAGAGTCTGAATAGACGGATTACAGCTAGTGAACTTGAAGCAATAATAAAAAAAACCCTCCAGCAAACAGAAGTCCTGGACCGGATGGCTTTACAGGTGAATTTTACCAAACATTCAAAGAAGAACTAACACCTGTTCTTCTCAAAGTATTTGGGCCATATAACAAACTCACAGCCAACATCATAGTCAATGGGCAAAAACTAAAAACATTTCTCTTAAGATTGGGAACAAGACGGGATGTCTGATTTCACCAGTCTTATTCAACATAGTACTTGAAGTCCTAGCCACAGCAATCAGACAAGAAGAAATAAAGGCATCCAAATTGGAATGGAAGATATAAAACTGTCATTATTTGCAGATGACATGAAACTATATACTATAGAGGACCATATAGGTTCCACCAAAAAACTACCTGAACTGATAAATGAATTAAGTAACATAGCAGAATACAAAATAAATATTCAGAAGTTCGTTTCATTTTTATAAACAATAATGAACTATCTGGGAAACTCTAGAAAACAATCCCATTCACAATTGCTTCAAAAAATTTAAAATACCTAGAAGTAAATTTAACCAAGGTTGTAAAAGCCTTATACTTGGAAAATTATAAGACACTAAAAAACGAAATTGAAGAGGATACAAATAAGTGGAAGCATATACCATGTTCATGAATAGGAAGATGATATAGAATTGTACACCTGAAACTTATGTAATTTTATTAACCAACTAGAGGCCCAGTGCACAAAATTTGTGCACAAGCAGGGTCCCTAGGCCTGGCTGGCGATCAGGGCTAATCAGGGGCCTTCCTTCCCCCGGCTGCTGGCTGCTGGCGGGGGCCTTCCCTCCCTGGGGACTCCCATTGGGTTGAAACTGGAAGGCTCGTTCTGTGCCGCCCCCTGGTGGTCAGCACATGTCATAGTGAGCAGTCAAACTGCTGGTTGGTCAAACTCCCAAGGGGACAGTTTGCATATTAGCCTTTTATTATATAAGGATGTCACCCAAATAAACTCAATAAATACATAAAAACTAAATGCAATATTTGGCTTTAAATATTTTTATTTAATATCAAAATGCTTTTAATTTTTTTATTTTTATACATGTAAATAAACACATATTGTAATTTGAATTTGAAATATCAGATGCTAAAATGCCATGGGCAATATGAAGTTTAATGGGACATGTTCCTGCTTTCTAGGAGCTTAAAATTTGTTTATTTGGGAATGTAGATTGGAAGGGAAAAATTTCAATGTGGATAGAATGTGATATATATCATCTGCTATAGGTGTAAAACCAAATACAAATATTTCTGATCTTTGTTATGATCAAGTCTAGTGAAATAAAATTAAGGAGTAAGAATTTGATTGTTTCAGAAAAATGAAATCACTTTTTTCTTTCATTTTATTTTATTTTTTGTTAATTATGTTGTATCCATTATTGCTGGGGTGTTTTTCCCCAGTAGGAAAAATTGAAAGCAACTTTCTAAGATAAAAAGGGTAAGGGTAGAAGTGCATATCCTTGTAACAAACAGGTTTATATTAGAGGATCCTAAGATAAAAATGCTAGAGATTGAGAGTTCAGCTGTTTTACCTGTTTTCTACTTTTCTGCAGATTTATCTGTGTTACTCCCTGCATCCCGACTCTCCAAGCTCATCCACCTCTTCCCCTATTTTGGCCACATTTTCTTTGCATTCACCAATAAGATAATATTGTTTCTTTTGATTCTTAGGGGCTTATCTCCAGCACAAGCTGATTCCCAGTTCTTAGAAAATGCAAAGAGGCTTTCCATGTATGGTGTTGACCTACATCATGCCAAGGTACTGTAATGTCATGGGGAGGTGGCCTCTTGCCAGGCTGTTGACTGAAGTTTTGAGAGGACTCCAGTGTCAGAATAATCTGGTTCATCTTTTGCAAAAGGCTACTCACCCTCACCCTAGGAATTCTGTAATATTTCTTTGGAGACTAATTGTAGTGTTTATGGTTGTGGGAGGGTCCATTTATTCTCCCCCCTACTTCTTTCTTCTTTTTCCAATATTTTTAATTAATACCCTTTCATATGTACTTATCCCAAGACTCATCAGCCTTCTTGATCCATCATCTTGGTTTATTCTGCATCCCAGCTTTTGTCTTATCAGAAGTAACAAAAGTGCCCTCTATCCCAGCTCCCTCTCCTGCCTCTGTCTTAGGATCAGAGAACAGATCTTAGCTACTATGAAAGCGAAAAAGCATGGTGGGTATTGACCACTATCTAAAAACTCCCTCGTTATGAAGGAGCCCTTGAATTGGGCTTCTCCCTCTTGTAAAATAAAGTATGCTGGCCCAGGCTCCAGGTGACATAGCACCTTCAGTCTAATTTGAGAGGTGGGAGGAAGAGTAGGTGTTAGGAGAAGGTGGAATTGGGTTGGGTTGTGAGGATGCCAGTAATAAATGTTACCTATTTCATGATCCTTGCTTGGATGATCATTTAATGGGGAGAGCTTAGGAGAAGAAGAGGTAAGGTGAAAGGTGGATTTGGAAATATATTCAGAGTCAACTCAACATGCTGAGGGAAGCTGTGGTAGCCTGCTTTTAAAAAGACCCTGCTAATCCCTAAATGTAGCATAGGAAGCCCAGATGAAAGGATTTGTGAGATCTCCAGGAAAGCCCCCCACCCGAAGATGTCTTCCCTCCCTAGTCCTCAGATTAATACTTCTTGCTTTTGTGTTAATAGTCCTTCATATTTGAAAATTTCTTTTTTCCTCAGTGACTTCTTTATTCTTTAAATATTTTTCCCTATTATAAAAGTAATACATGTTCATCATGGAAAACTAGAGGCGAACAGAAGGGGAAAAAAATCACTGAAATCTCTTTATGTGAAACAATTACTGTTAATATTTTGATACATTTTCTTGTTTTTAAAAAAACCTTTGTTGTCCTGGTGGGTAGCTCAGTTGTTTAGAGCATTGTCCTGATAGGTTGCAGATTTGATCCCTAGTCAGGGCACATACAAGTATCAGCCAATGAATGCACAAATAAATGGAACAACAAATCGTCCCCTGTCTCTCTAAAATCAATAAAGAAACATTTAAAAAAACCTTAGCGCAATTGAACTCACGGATTTAAAAATGAGATTATGCAAAGTAACATTCATTCATTCTGTTAATCATCTGATGGACTCAGATAATATTTGATAAACGATATTTGTAGACATTTAAAAGGATATATAGCAATTTAAAAGAACCTTTCATGTAGTTTTTGTGCCTTTAACTTTTTCATTGTCTTGAGATTGTATTTAAAACGTCTTTTAATTAATATTTTATTATCAGAAGAGTTTTTACTGGCTCTCTCATGTTAGGACAAGTTGGAGGGTGTTGAATAAAAGGTATCTTGACAAAGGTACAGGGAAACCACAGGAGTAGCGATACTTCTGAAGTAGTAGAGCACCAGCCCTCTCTGGATCTGAAGAGTGATTGTCAGGACTCAGGAGAGATTTGTGTGGAAAGGCCATCTAGAGAGGAGCTGTCATTGCCAAGGACACAGCCAGCCAGATGGCAGCCATACAGGGAGGGAATCTTCAAAACCCTGACCACCCCTCCCTCCCTCCCCTCTCTGATCTTCTTGACGAACTTCCCATAAGCTGAATCATTCGAAGTCAGTGGGCATGGGATCCTGTTGATACCCACATGGGGCAGCTTCTAGGGGCAGTGAGCACAGCAGAGGAGATGGTCCCTTTTTCTTTATTTCTCTGACTTTGAGGTTGAATGTCAGAAGTCAAATACAATGTTTTTCCCTTTCTTATCTTTTATTTGTAATTTCTCATCGTACAAATACTGATAATTCTAAAACAATGTGTGGAACAACCGAAAATCAATTCATTTACTTGGGTCCAGATTTTGTTTATTATTAAGTCAGATAAAATAGCTTCAGTGTCCTGTCTAAAAATTGCTTCACACGAGAGATGGCTTTGTTCAATGTTTCAAATGAGGGCTGCCTCCTTACTTGTGGTGAGAACATGCTGTCTTGGGCAATCTTCCAGCCTGCTTCCTGCGGTCATGGCCAGTGACGTTTTTGGCAAACGCACCATTTGTGACTGGTGCCAAGTTGCTTGGACACCTGTGCCTGACTCACCCGCTTTTTACTCTGTTCCTAGAGAGAATTTTGGCTGCCAGGACACTGGTGAATAAAGAACCTTATAGATTAGATATTTAAACCTCCTCAGGTGATCTAATGTAACTTCATTTGTATATATGAATTATTCACATACCAGCAACTAAAGCAATTGGCATCAGTTACCCAGTACTGTCCTTTTATTTTTTTAAAAAAACTAATATAAATTGTGTTACATTGTTCTCAATCACAGGACAGTCAAAATGTTGTATTGAATTGAGACCTAAACGTAGTGTTTGTTTCAGCATGCTTTTTGAGAATTTAATAAATGTGAATATCTTTAAGTAATATTCTTCAGTGTTAAATATTTGAATGAGATTTAGTTTTTCCCTTAAAGATAAACAATAATTTGTACATTTTGAGTATTGTGCATATTAGATTTTCAACACTACTAGAAATATTAGGAGCCAATTTTTTACTTTTGTCTGTAAACTTTTTTGATAGTTTAAAATCTTTCAGGCTTGTGATTATTCTAGATTGTCATCTATTCTAAATTAAAACACTGGGGAAAGAAAATATTAATAATTGAAGAATAGCCTACAGTCCTTTAAAATATGCCAGCCAAAGGAATATGCTATGGCAAGAACTGGATGTCAGCATTCGGAGTTACTGAATAACTACTTGAAAGAATTCAAACATTTTAACACTATCAGTCTAGAAGAGAAATTTCCTGGGAGGGATTGTTGTTTTACAGAATATAGGTGTAACTTTTAACAGCTATTAGCTAGAATAATCCATCTGAGATAAGTTTTACTAAAGTAAAAGGCCCAATGTACTTTAAGCCAACATACTATCCCCAAGGGGGGGCGTTGCCTCTTGGCAAACACTTTTTAGCTCTCCTATCTTCAGGATACCTAAATCGCGTTGTTTCCTTCCTTCCTCGTGAGCTCATAGGCCTGAGCTCAGGAACATGAAGAATGCCTTTTGAAGAATATTGTGTCCTGTAGTTACGTTGTGTACTTCTTTGGCAAATCAAACCTAATCCCTGAAGATGATTAGATTTAAGATGTGTTGTGTGCCCTACCGTTTCTATTAACCTGTGTGCTGTCACTGAAATTTAAATACCAACTTGTTAAATTGGTATTCCTAGTCATGGTTTGAGGAGCTAACGAGCTTCCTGATCTGTATAATTTTCACAACTCTAACCGTGGTCAAATGCTTATGCTTGGCAGGACTCAGAAGGCGTGGACATCAAGCTGGGTGTGTGTGCTAATGGGCTCCTCATTTACAAGGACAGACTGAGAATCAATCGTTTTGCTTGGCCGAAAATCTTGAAAATTTCCTATAAGCGCAGTAACTTCTACATTAAAGTTAGGCCTGCAGAGGTAAGCATGTCATGTAGTCCTTGGCATATCTGATTAGGCTTTGTCCATGTTCTCCATGGCCACGAGTTAACTGAATTTTTTTCCACTGAATTTAAGAAAACGAACTATTCTTTATTTCTCTGTGGTGAAAAAAAGGTCAGGTTCTTGGTGATAAACCTGCATATATGTTCCTGTTGCTAAAACACAAGCAACAGCCACAGATTCACAGAACAGGGAAGTGGTAAGTGCCTGCCACATTGTGGGGGCTCATGTTTGTTGTTGAATCAGCTAAGTGGAGATCAATAGGAAGGTGGTAAAATTAGTTTTAGTGGACATTGACATTGTTTATGTCAATAGTTATGTACCTGCTTTTCATAGAAACTAGTATTGAAGTCTATGAAATACTTATTTTGTATAAATTATATTAGATGTAATCACAGTTTTTCAAGAAGAATCACTTTTTAGAGAAAATGTGAATTCATGTTTTTTAGTAGCTTCTAATGAACTCTTAAATAAATATGCCAATTTGTTTATTCTAGCTGGAACAGTTTGAGAGTACCATTGGATTCAAACTGCCGAACCATCGGGCTGCGAAAAGGCTATGGAAAGTGTGTGTGGAACATCACACTTTTTACAGGTAATTGAAAGAAAACAGCTTAAAATTAATTGAAATAGCTCATGGTACCTTTTACTTACTGGGAGGTGGTAGTGGAGAGTGTGGCAGATGCTGCAACACCCTCCATTATGACTCTTTGCTCTTATCAGTGTCAAATCTCCTTTGTCTGCAAAGTCCACTCTTGTGTCTATTTCTGTTGCCTTGGCCATCCCTTGTCATCACTCATCGCTCTGAACTGTCTGCCTTCATTTTTGCTGGCATACCATAGACTCCAATTTAAAAGCAGACCAATTTGCTCCTGCAGACTTTTGGGATAATGATTAATTAAAAGCATTTTTATATCTTTAAATCTTATATAACTTTGCTCACAAACATGTATGTAACACAGAAAGGGAAAATCATAATTTGTCTGCGGAATGCTTTGAATCTGATCAGTGGATTTTGTTCTGTTTTAGTTTATCACAAAAGATTGAAATAATTTCTTTAGGAAATTAAAAAATGGCTTTCAGATTGAAGCCATAAACAGATCTTTGTGTTGATTGACAGCCACTCAGCTAGACTAATATTAGTTTAACTAGAACATAATAAAGCTGCTGTCCTTGCTTGAGCATTTAATATAGCCCATCACCATTCTTAGTGCTGCACAGGGATTCATTTTATGAATCCTTATAACATAGCTTATGGGGCAGGTGCAGTTATCTTCATGTTACATATGGAGAAACTGAGGAACAGCGAAGTTCAGAAATATGCTCTTAGTCATATACATAGTAACGGTGTGATGGAATGCAGACCCAGGTAGTGTGGCTCCAGGCACCCACCAGTATACCCACGGTGCTAGACTTCCCAACTGAATTTACAGCTGATTTGCTTCCTGCTATTTTCTCAGTGCTTTTTGTTGTTGTTGTTGTTGTTGGTGGTGGTGGTGGTGGTGGTGTGTAAACAAGAGTAACACGAGGTTTTCTAGCTTCACATTAAACTGCCATTTAAACTTTGGCATTGCAAATCCAGATTAATCCCAAGCGAGTTAACGTCATCAGCCACTTTATAGAGAGTTTTATGGGAACCCATGGCACTCGTTAAATGTATGATTGATTTAGCAATTGGTATGAGGATTTTTCTTAAAATGTTCATTTTCCATAGATAAACATTAATATTAATTTGGAATGACAGGAATTTTATAAAATTAAAATGTTAATACACTACTTAAGCAGTAAAATATGTAAAGTTGGATTCCTTTGTAATACATTATTACTTAGATCATCTTGCTCCAGACTTTTAATACTCTGATGGTTAGCCCCTTATCATAGCTTTTAAATTTCCAAAAGTGAAATGATAGATGCCTTGTAGTGGTTTTGATGTTATTCTTATCAAGATAGGGTCTGATATGGAAAATAAAAGTAACATAAAAAGAAAATAAACTGATCTTAAAGTGATAGTCTTGAAATATTTTGTCAATTTATCTTCATTTTCTTAGAAAATTTATATTACCATTGACTTAAATCACCAAAAAAATTCTTTTAAAGAGAGCTAATAAATGTCTGTGGTGAAGTCAGCCCCTTTTTTGTTTTGATGTTTGTTTCTATTTAATTGAAACTTAATTACTTAAGGGGTTTTTTATCATCAGAAAATTAATCTGCAAGCTAATGCTTTGAGTATGTGGTCAACCAATGTCAGGCAAGAAAGTATCTTATCTCAATTTAAAACAAAATAAAAATCCTCTAGTTAATGACTTTCCTTCTTTTGCACTGTGACATATATCCTTTCAAAGTCAATTGGCAGAAAATGGAAGATTTAAAGAAACACTTTTATTACATACATGAATAGATTAAAATCAAGAGAGCCCAGAGGGTATTAGTTCTTTCATCAGTTTAATTCCAACACTTTTGGGGGAGAGGGGGAGGAATGTTTAAGACTACTGAGAACCCTTAGTTAATGGAGGATAGTCTCTTGTATTATTACATGTAGCTTTACCTTTCCTTGAAATTTTTTTCATTGCTTCCTTAGCAGAATAAGTTTTCTAAAAAACTGGGCAGAAGGTCTTGAATACTTGAAATGTTAAGTAATTCTTAAAGATTCACTCTTGGAGAATGATAGGAAAAATTTTGGTAGTATTCTCCATACTGTGGAATTGTCAACTAAAGCCTTCTTATATTTAATAAATTCCACAAGAGCTCTGAGATTATTTTTTTAAGATATTTTGCCAACTCTTGATCAGACAGTGAAAGTGAGGAAATTTCAGTTGTATGCCAGACAAGATTGGCTTGTTTACTAAGAACATGTTTTTGTGTACATGCGAGTATTTGACATTAAGTTTAACTTTATCCATTATGAACTCAGGTTTAGCAGTAGAACTGTGCTAGCAAGAAAGGAAGTTAGTCATCTCTGCATATCCACTGCATGCTGCCTTCTTCATGGGAACAAGATTCCTTGTTAGATGTTCTTTCCCAGGAAGAATAAACATAAATATTAAGAATTACTAAGAGTAAGGGATTGCTACTTGGCACTTACAGCTAGGAGCGAGAATTCAGACATATGTGTTTATCTAAATGATTTAAGCTAATACAAATAAATAACCTTTGATAAACACTGAGAACAGCTGCACTTTTGCTCATGTCGAGGAAAACATTCATGAATACATGAATATGGATTTATTCATTTTATCACTATCATCAAGCTCTTATATAGGAAGGTATATAAATAATGTTCTTTTTCATTAGTTTAGTCATCCATTTTTTAATATTGAGTAATCATGCTTAATAAAATGAGATATTAAAAGAGTTTTAAAGTTAATAAAGAATTCATAAATTCTAATTTTGTTCCTTTTTCTCCCCACTACAGGCTTGTGTCTCCAGAGCAGCCACCAAAGGCCAAGTTCCTGACCTTGGGGTCCAAATTCCGCTATAGCGGCCGCACCCAAGCCCAGACCCGCCAGGCAAGCACCCTCATTGACAGGCCTGCGCCACACTTTGAGCGCACATCTAGTAAGCGGGCCTCCAGGATTCTAGATGGAGGTAAAGATGTTCATGACAGTTTTAAATTCCATTAATCTTTCTAATCCAGTGGGATCAGAGAATGTTGATCTAGTTGATAAGGCTCCCAGAAATACCCTAGAGCAGTGGTTCTCAACTTTGGCTGCACATTAGAATTACCTGGGAATCTTTTAAAATCCTGATTTCTGGGCCTCATCCTCCGAGGCCCAGCAACCCTCATCTGAGGATGAGGCCCAGAAATCAGGATTTTGAAAAGATTCCCAGGTGATTCTAATGTGTAGCCAAGGTTGAGAAACACTGCCCTAGAGTAATAGCCGTTTTATTCTGAGTATATAAAGTTTCATTTCTTATACTCACAAGAAAATTTTGTAGGATTTGCAGTTCGCATTCTGAATCTAAATGCTTTTTTTTGCATTGTCAGCGGACACAAATGTTCGCTAAGAGTTCTCACTGATGAGATGGTGGACAAACATATTTTTACTGGTCTGACTTAATTGTGATGTATTTTATGTGGATTATTTTTTGGCAAAAATGTAATTCCAAAGGTTTTTGGTGTGGTAACATCTGAACTTCTATTCAAAGGAACTTAAAACATTCAAATTTTTTATGATTTTAAAAACTCTGACTGAAGCTTACCAAACTTTCCAGCATTTGAGAAACCATTCACAGCTTCAAAGTATCAGTTTAAATGTAGTGTTTTAACAAAAAGAAAGGAAATATAATATATTCGTTTGTTCTTTCACCCAAGGGGAGTGTATAAATTTGTATATTTTTCCTATTGGATTTCTAATTAGCTACATATTTGTAGTTTTGTATAAATTATACATGGAAATAAATTGATGTTGCTTCCTTTCATACATGTATGTATCTTATTACCCTAATTTTGAGTTAATAGCAGGTTTTCTAGAAAAAAGCTAAAGTTAATTTTACATTAGAATACTTTATGAAGGACTTACATTTTTTCTACCTAAATGAAAATAATTCGTATGGATGACTTTCTACCAGAAGAAGTAGCTTTTCAACATTTTTGTTGATTAATCTCAAAACATATACAAAAATAGTAACATAAAATTTAAAAATTATCTTTTATTACTGTTATTAGCAAAAATATTTTTATTGCTTGTTATTACTGATAACTTTCTGAAATATGAACTTGAACAACTATATTATAAATAATTATCTGAGACAGACAATATGCTAATAGATAAACATATTCCTTCAGTGAAGGATAAACACACCTGGGTCTTGATCTGTTTTTCCTGGAATAAACTTGGAAAACAGAACCAGGCATACACATGGAGATACTTCCCAGGATTTGTTGTTGGGCATCTTTGTATACATAATTATTAAATATTGATTCAGAAGAATCTTTAGTATATTTTTATGAGACCACCCAAAATTGCAAGGTGACCATAAACTTGGTTCAAATAAATGTCCACATTTCCAAATATAGGGATTTAAACTTAGTGAATTACTAGTGTACAATAGCTATCCGTGTAACTTTTAGCTAATAGGCAACTGAACATTTTTCCAGTAAATCTGAAAAATGTTCCCATTCATGTAAATATTTCACAAACTTTGCCCCTTGCTACACAGAATTTATGCAAGTGCTGAATAAATGCAGGCAGTATTGTTTAATGCCCTGAGAGAAATTATTCCTCTTTCTGGAATGCTGTCTCTTTCAGCATTTGTTTTAAACTATGAGGCTTTATAACTCTTACATTACAAATTTTATAGTTTATAAAGAAGAGTAAACTACTGTGATTTCTATGTGGTATATCAGCCGTGCTTAAGGAAATGTACCATCTTATATGGGCAACTAGTGCAGAGGGTTGTAATAGGTTTGTATCTGAAAACAATGATTTTTATAAGTAAAAGCCACAAACATGGCACAGTAATCCATTATTTTTCCTTTTGTGTTCTGGGCACTGTAATTCATCAGATGGGCAAGTTATCAAAGGATTATTGTGTTATTGTGAAAAATAGAAGGCTTTTCATGCCAGTGCAGGACCAGACAGCCAGTGAACTATTTGGTTAGGGCTTATAGTCTCTCTTTTTTTTCCTCCTCAAAGCAAAGCTAGGCTGTAACCTGGTACTGAGCTTTATTTTTTCCCACCACTCTCCATTAACATACCATTTTTGTTGTTGTTGACATGTGTTGTGTTTTCTTTTTCCTGTTTAGTTTTAAGTAAGGTTAGACTAGTGTAGATATATGTATCAATAGTTCTTACTTTAAGGCTTGACAGTCTTCTAGTGATTACATAGAACATAAAATTTAATGTGATATCTAAAATCAAATATAAAAATAAAAGTCAATCCAGAACAGCTGTTTTAGAACAGTGAGAATCCAAGATTGGAGAATCAACCCAAAAAGTAGGCAAAGCAGTCATTTAAAAGAGTTTATGACCGAGATGTATTTGAGAGCAGGGGAAGCAATGATGTCATGAAAATGGAAAATATAATAATCAGGGACACTAGTTACTTGGGTCATCTGGGAACGGAGGCCTATATGAGGAAGGAGAACCATCTCAGTTGAGATTTGAAGGATGAGTAGGAGGCAGCCTTGAGTAAAGCAGGAGATAAAGCATCGCAGGTAGCGGGAGCAGCGGGTCTGAAGGCTGTAAGATTAGGGAGAGCTTATTACATTCCAGAACAGAAAGAAGTCAAGTGTAGTCAGAGCTTAGTAAGTGATGGGGAGAGGTAGGCTGGGGCCTTGCACGCCTTGGTGAAGAATGTGGTTTTTATTCTAGGTGTTGCAGGAAATTACTGAAAGTTTTTTTTGTTTTGTTTTGTTTTTGGTGTGTGTGTAGTGTGTATATGTACAGATGTGTACATACTTGTGCAAGCATATAAGTACACAGTGTTAATTTTTTTAAAACCAATAACTTTGCAATGTCTAAAATCACTAGAGGATGAGAGAAGAAGCAGGAGAACTGGTTGGGAATAGTCCAGATGAGAGTAATGGTGGTCTTGCCTTGGGTGATAGTAGTCCAGTCAGCCATTTGGCACCCTAAGCTCAGTGGCTGGGGCCTACAAGCTTCTCAGGGTTCTACAAGTGTTTAAGACCTAAAAAAAATTGTTTTAAATCCCCCCAAAATAAAAATTCCCCTGCAATCTGAAATTAATAAATGTTTAAAAGTATGCAGCGTCAACATTTTGTCAACGTCATTGTGTAAATTTAAATTTCATTAAAATTTTGATATTATATCTGAAACTATTTCTAGGTCAAATTTTTCCCATTTTGCAATAATTTCTGAGTGTGTGTAGGGGTGCTTAGAAATCATAATCATAAGTTAAAATAATTACTCATAGCTGTGTACTTTCCAAGTGAAACCTATGAAAATCTTCTCAAAAGTTTATAAAAAAGCACCTGGAAAATAATTATTCTTAATGTAAGATGTGAGTTCATTTTATAACATTCTGTGGGCTTTTGAAAGCATGAGTCCTTAGGGATCTGGGTGGTCAAATAGAGCTGGAAGAACTGGCCACATTTAGAATAGATCCAGCACTTGCTTGGACTTGCAGATGTTAAGGGGTGAAGGAAGAGACTTTGAGGTTTCTGGCTTGAGTTAACTAGGTGCAGACAAGTATGAGGGTGGCCAAAACAGCAAGACTGGGGAAGAAGGAAGTTTTAGGGCTTGTGAGGGATGTAGATCAAAGGTTTCTTGTAAAACATGGGTTAGAAGTGCTTGATGCCTCCCAAGTTCAATGTGGTGGATCACATACAGTCCCTGCCCTCCAAAGGCTTGCAGCCTAAAGGCCTTTGTGGTTACTGGGCTTCTCTGGGGGCATGGATCTGAGCCAGTCAAGCACTTTTTATACAAGTAAAATGACCTCCGTGGTTGTTCCCGTTGTTGAGGGAGAAACTACAGATAGAGACTTTGCCAACTGCTACTCACTTTGCCTTGTTGGGGTCTGAGGCCATCTTGGGTTGATTTGCCGTATGACACAGATTGCAACACAGTCTATGTTTCTTCCCATCTGTAGGAGAGATGAAGGGAGTACATGAGGGCCAGGCTTGCTGAGTGGGAGGGTGTCTGTGTATTAGATTTACTGTTAGGTCAAGTTGAGGCATTCAGGGGGGACGTTAGAGAAATAAAAACTATTAAACAGAAATTCATTCCCTAAAATCTACCTTTACTATCTTGTCACAATTTTAAGTGGCATTTAAATTCAAGTTCTTTTATGGGCGAATTCTTTAAACTTATTGAAGCAAATAATTTTAATAAATAGATAATTATTTGTTTCAGAAATAATCTCAGATAAGATCAAAGAAATCCTAGAGAATTAAAATAATGCTTACATTGTGGTTCTGACACTGCTTTGACTCTCATTTCAGCTGGGCTTAGAGCTCCTTCTGCTGGTTGATTCCATGATAAGAGTATATATACCCTTAAAAAAACTGTTTTAGGAGCCTGTGTAGTTTAATGGATTAAAATTCAGAATACTTTTAGAGTTCAGTGGTTTGGTTCAGTGGATAGAGAGTCAGCCTGCAGACTGAAGGGTTCCAGGTTCGATCTGGTCAAGGGGCATGTACCTCGGTTGCATGCTCCCAACCCCCTTTCACTCTCTCTAAAAATAAATGGAAAAAATATCCTTGGGTGAGGATAAAAAAAAATTTAAATTAATAAATAAACTTTTAATAAAGGTTTAAAAATTAGTTTATTTGATACATTGATATTTTCAGAGCTCTAGCAACGTTCCTTTTGAGTACATGCTGCCTGCTTATCTGTGTAAAAGGGGGAAGTTTCATAAAGTTTGACCATTTACCTGTCCTAATGTAATCCAAATGATCATTCTTTATTAGCTCTAGTTGGTGTTGTGGACCAAAGTCTTACGAAGGATTCTCCTGGCCCTGGGGAGGTGTCGGCATATGGCCGAGGAGTTGTCAGCACTGCCATAGTACAGGATGGGGATGGCAGAAGGGACCTTAGAAGCCCCACTAAAGCCCCACATGTGCACCTCATTGAAGGAAAGGTATGGTAAATTAGTAGAATATGTGACTTTAAATGTGTGCTTAGGCTAGAGGCTATCTGTTGCATTTGTTGTTTCAGAACTCAAATAATATTTAAAATTAGTCAATGTATGTTCTCTTTTGATATAATTTCCTAATTTTCAAATATGCGAAGGCTCGTGCTTGTTTGGACAGGATCTCTGACCTTTTTCTGAGTGGAGTTCAAAGCAAAATATTCCAATGTAAATTATATTAATGCAAGTAAGTATTTTTTAACTCTTCATAATCATTCTATTTAGTTAAATCCTTAAATGATGAAAGCTGTGATGATTTGAAATTTATATTTGTTTGTTACAAGTAAATGTTAAAGTATAACCTGTATTATTATTTTAATCATGTTGACTTAACATTTTTTGAAATGAGCAAAGATGGTCTTTATGAAAAATGTTATTTTTCATTAGTAATCTATAACTGATGAAGAAGACATTCTTAAGCAAGGGTAAGTGTTTTGTGAACAGTGAGAAGATGGCGTGTTGCTTTTGGCCTTATTTTGTATGTACACCATAATGAATAGAGAAGTACCCTGTATTATGTTTTCAAATTTGTCACTGTTATTTATGTTACCTTGGGCAAGTGAAGTTACTTAGAGGTTGATTTGAAGAGGCTTTGAGTTCTTCAGATCTCTTTTCTATATCTGCACAAAGCAACACACACACAAATGAAATCATTCTGTGGATTTATAATATTCTCTGTACTTTAACTTTGAAAATTCTGAAGACATACAGCATGACATAAAGAACCTGCCAGATGAAGTAGCTGCCAGTTCTCAGGAATTCAACAACCTCTAATTCTCAGCATTGAGTGGGGGAGGGGGACCAGGTGGACCCTTATGCCACAAGGACAAGGGCTTCAGGTAGCACGTGCCATCCAATCACCTGCATACCTTGTTAAAGAATTTGTATCATATTTCAAAAACTATTTGTGCAAAAATTATTTAGTTAAAAATAGCACAAATCACACCCAACAAGGTATCCTGAACTGCTGAAAAGTTGTCAGAATCTTTAATAATTATGCTGATGAGGCACCTAGGAGAGTGACTCCTTATATCTGAAACAGAAGAGCTGAGCAATTTGAAGTCTCTGTTCTATTTTGCCTGGTTAATTTGATACATCGTTATTTTTTTTTTATAAAGTTCTTTTAAATTCCAAAGGAAATTCTTATCTTCATTCAGCAAAAGTTGAGTATGTTGGCCTTTTGCCAATGCTTTGAATGTCTGTCAGCAACCAGGTTTAAAAGTAATAATGCTGTTTGAGTTTCATTGGATCTATTTGCAACCAGTCAGAAAACAATAAAGTCAGTCTATATCTATACATTTTATGATCAAAGTAGTTCAGTTTTCCTCTTTAAAATGGATCATTTAATTCATTTTCTAACCACACTGTGTTAATACAATCCCTACTTTTGAGTAAGATTGTTCACTAACTACTTATTTCTTCTCTCCTCTTTTGCCTCCATTTCTCCTTTGAATGTATCCGTGTAATTTCACATTCAACCATGGATTTGCTTCTGAAAGCAGCCTGTTTTCATCTGCCCACCTTCACCGCTCATCCGCTATGCTTCATGTCTTTCCCCAAACCTGTTACCAGTCCCTGAAATGGACTTGCTTTCAGACATTTCGGAGGAAGACCCCTTTGGGGAGGCCGACCAAGTCACACTAGACAGCTTAGAACTCCTTTCCACAGGGGAAACATCAGAGCAGGGGGACTGTGACGTTGCTGTCCTGGATTCTGTTTCGGATCCTATTGTAGCCCCTTCCCAGATTGACTGTCCTCCCACCCATGAGAAGCCTCTAAAAGAGGCTGACCTCAAGGATTCTGAGTTTGGGTACTTTCCCTTCAGTTTCTGTAAATGCTTCCCACCCAGCTTCCCCTCCCTCCTCGATGAAGATGGGTACCTTGCTTTCCCTAGCCTCCCCAAGGTCTGGGTCTCCTTCCTCCCCGCTGACGTCCAGCACTATGTTCCGATCACCTCCCCTTCATTCCTTCCCTCCCTCATCCTCATCTTTGGGCTCCTCCTCTCTGCTTCTCAGTCAGTGCCCTTTTCCCTCACATTTTCCCTTCCTCTGGCTCTGTCCCTCTGCTACCTGGAGGCCAAAGCCACGTCCTTTCATGTGTCTTATGACTGTGACTCGAATGACAGAACAGAGGAAGAGGAAGCAGTTGTTGGTACTCCAACATAAGCTTCAGTCTGTGCAGTCCACAAAACTACACTTCATCTTGTACCCCTCCCAATGTAGAGTGTAAACATGTGCATAAACTTTACCACTGACTACCCTCAATATAGTATGAGCTGCACATTTTCACACAGATATTTCAGTGCATGAGCAATAAGTGTAAGCAACTTCCCTGTCATTGATATCCATTGAGAGCTCCATACAGTCTAAGTTTAAAGCAAAGTTATAGGATTCTTTTATAAATATCTGTAAACCTTACTAGGTCTTAAAAATAGAACTTAGGATGCTGTGGACATCATAGTAATTGACATGTGTAAGTAGAGTTTCTATTAGTTCTTTTGTTAGAAAGCCAAGCTCATTCTTCTTGAATTTATGCATCTTTATTCCTTTATTCCTGACATTTGTAGTTCTAATCTCAGAAACTCCTTGTATCTCTATTATTGTAGCATTTGGAGACCAGATGAATTTCAGGTAGTGTTTTATTTTGTATGAGTTTTTTTTTTAAACTCTAAATCACATAATTATGTGACAGAGTCACTGTCAGGTATTTTGTAAGGAAAATATCTTTTCTTTAACAAATGTGTATGGAAAATGAAACAAGGCTTTTTGAAAATTTAGAATATATAGCCCTAAGGTTGGGCCTCTTAGTGTTCTTAAAATTAAATGTCTGGTTTGAAGATATTTACCTCTTTATAGGACTACCTCTGCACTGCTAGTCAGTCCATGCTAACGTGTGCAGTATGTTTTTGGTTGTTTTGTAAAATGTGGTCTGGTGACTTAGTATCTTAGTATCCTGTGGTTACTATCAATAAATAGAGTAAGTCATGTAATTTAGAGCAAACCTAAAGACAAATGTGAAGATAATACTATGATTAGGCATTGAGAAGCCACGAATCTTAAAGGGTACCTGCGGATGTGAAAGTTGGACATTTGAGAGAATTCAGTGTTGACCCAGGAATTGGAAGATAGTTCTTAACAGATTATTGGTTGTGTCTAATATTTACCTTCTGATAAAAAAGATACTTTGAGCTTCTTGCTAACTTTTCAGAAATACTTGAATACATTTTTTTTAAAAAAGAATATTTTGAACTCTCAGATTTGACACTGTCATTTGAATATGATATGTATATGATCCTGCTATCAATTAACAGGTAAAGGTTAAACTATTTTCCTTTGGTATCAGAACCAGTATTTTTCTTTCTTGCCATTCCTGTCTTTGAGTTAGTCAGTAGTCACTAGTATTTATACTAGTTTTAAATTTACAAATTTATTCTTTTGGAACGTTAAATACTGAGACTTGTCCAACTATGAAAACTGATTATTGTTTAAAGTATTTTATGAAAGAAAAGTGGCTATAGCTTAAAGAGTATTTTTAAATACCTACCATTGTAACATGAATGTAGCAAAATAAACCAATTCCCTCCCCACCAAGGAAAGAAATCTGTGTAAAAAACTGAATATTAGGGAATATTTGTCTGACATAAAGGGAAAGCCAAATTTTACATCATTTTACTTTGCTGTTATCACCAGTGGATTTAGACATTTCAAATTAGAACTGATTGAATTATGCCATTTTTACACTCTCAGATTTTTATTCTTGAGTAATAAAAAACAATACTCAAAAGCAGTGCATGTAAACTAGGGACTGAGAAAGAGTGAAGCTTCCATTCTCCATTCCACCCTTGCAAAGGATCATTTCCATCATTTATACAACACTGTAGGTGAAGAAAGACCACGTGGCTTAATGTTCTGCATCTTCTGAGGGCCACGCAATAAAGGTTGGTAATGCTAGTTCACCATTGAAGCTCAAATACAACTTCTTTGCACCAATGGTAGAGTTTCCACTAATCCTTCTGTTTCTGGCCACTTGCTGTATGACTTTTCAGGCGAAGATGGAAGAAGAGGAAACACAGCTGGAGGAGGTGGATATTTTTTCTGCAAAATTAAAACATGGTGGCTGCTGCCTGCCATTATTCTTGTGTGGGGTGATGCACTTTCAGGGTTTATTTGTCAGTTTTGCTTGTTGTGGCTTTAGGTTCTTAAAATTGTTATTACTAGTAATGTCTTAGACTATCCAACTCTGGTGCTTGCTGATTGATACACTTACGTTTATTTGCTTTTCCCCCCTGTGTGTGATTTAATTTCACAGAAAAATTCCTTGAGAGTAGAAGGGGATAATATTTATGTCAGACATAGCAATTTAATGTTGGAGGTTTGTATAATTTAAGAAAACAACTGTCCTGATGGCTGCCAGGCTGCTATGGTTGGGAGGTCACTCAGGCTGGCTGGCAGCATTTTCCAAGCACAGCGCATGCGATGCATGGGGAAATCCACCTCGGGAGTGCATGTCACCCGTCTGACTGTGTTCTTTTAAAGTGGCTGAGGTAGGAGTGTATTTCCTAGAAGTTCTCAAAGTGACAACTGGGAAAACAAGTTCTGTTCCATCAGATGAATAGTTTTTATCCATTAACCTTGAAGTTCTATAAGTAAACTTATACTCTCCTAATGGGTTATCTCAGGGCATGGAATCTGAAGTAATGTGATCCCATCCTTAGTATTCATTAACCAGAACAGATATTTGTTGATTTGGCATTAGATCGTTTTACTGTCGATCTGTGTCCACAATAGTTTGGGGGTGGGTATGGAGGTGGGGGTGGGTGGTGCCACTAAAATCCATGCAGTTAGGAATGTGGTTCAATTAAAGTATTCCATGTGAAAGTATGCTAATTAATGGGATCGCTTTGATAAAGAAGGAAGAATAAATGAAAGACAAAAAAGAGGGTGGGGGGAAGAAAACCTAGCCACCCAGTTAGGAATGTCAACTATATTCCCCGTGTCACACGAGAACTTTTCTTCTCCTTATTTAGGGGGCAGTACATGGCAATGTATTTAGTGGTGAACTGCAATTCTCAATAATCCGACTAATCAATTTGGTTGCTTTTGGCAGCTTGTGATAATTATTGGAAATGTATTTTTGCATAACTTACTAAAATGCTTTAAAGTGTAATACATAACATTGCTTTGAACAAATACAAGAAATGTGCCTGATCTCAAGCCACAGTCATTTTTCCATGCCATGCAAAGATTTTTAGATTTTCATGAGTTTTTGCAAATGGCTGTAGAAGCTCATAGATGAGCAACTATGCTTGTGCATGAATACGGAATACCTAATTTTATCAGATGCATGACCTGTTCCTCTGGGAGTGGGATGAAAGCTGCAATCAACAGGTGGCCCCCATGATTTTTGAAATGTAAGAAAAGGTTTAAAATTTAGTTAAGACCATTTCCTAAGCAATATTTAGTTTTAATTCCCACAAATACTAGTTTTCAGGGCCAATATAAAAAATCCCACAATACCATTCATCAGGGCCTACTGCAGTGAAAAATCAACCTGGTAATTACTCTTGCATTTTTGTCTGTATAAGGACCAATTTGGTATGTGGGGCAGTGGGGCCTCACATTTATGCTTGGCAACTACATGAAACTAGTATGAGGTTATTTTATGGAGAGATCAAATACAAGCAGCCTATGGAAGCTGTTATTTTTATTCCAGCCACTGCTGGAATTTCCTGAAAGAAGTCAGTCCTTGCCCACCCTACCACCCCCCTTTTGTGGTAGATGATCTTGGGCTGGCTTTCCCCCTGAGGCCAAGTGTGCTTCTGAGTCCACCTTTCTCTATTTTCACTTGATTTTAATATGTTCACAGAAGGCAATTTTAGTAGTAGCCCTAATCAGGAAGGTGAGTCTACAGAAACAAATTCATAGGCTGCATTCAAATCTAACTATTAGAAAGAAGAGTTATTAGCAATTTTGAGTATTAATTCCATGACTTCCTTCTAATAATGTAAATAGTTATTCTTTAAAAAATCCTAAACAAAGAAGACATTAGAACCCTTTAAGATGTGAATCATACAAAATTACAAATTCGCTTTATGTTCAAATTTTGAGGGACTTATTAAGGTTATTCATAGGTGATAATATGGCTTTTGAGACTTGGCATTTTTCTTGGTTTAGTATGTTTTTTTTTAATCGTAAGTATGCTTTGTCTTATTTTTTGGTTTTATTTTTATTTTTGTCCTACTGGGTTTTTTCCCTTTTGGATTTCCCCCCTTTAATACGTTACACATTGCTAGGACCTGGATAAGGCCCAGGAGGACATACTGAAACATCAGGCTAGCATTAGTGAACTCAAGCGCAATTTTATGGAATCCACACCTGAGCCGCGCCCTAATGAATGGGAAAAACGACGTATCACACCTCTGTCCCTACAGATACAAGGGGTATGTCATTAGCTATTTGTTGGCTATATGTCTGCAGCTTTTCAGTAAAATTCAGGTTGCTAATCTCTGATGCTGATTCCCAGGAAGTTACAAAATGTTCCCAGGTGTGTGTGTGTGTGTGTGTGTGCGTGTGTGTGTGTGTGTGTGTTTAAATGTAATTGCTAACAATTTTTTAAAATACTAAATATTTATTAACAATGTAATATGTGTTGACGTAGTTCTTAAGTAAATTGTATGAGTTACAAAGTACTTTTGAAATAGTTTCAGAATAACTATGTTACTCAATTAGTGGCAGTGTATTTTTATATAGGACGACTTAGAAACTGAGATTATATGATATTTAATAAGCTTTTCAGATGTTGACTACTGAAATAAGAAAGTTTGCTTAATAAATAAATAAGTAATGTGGATCATTTTTAGAATGGTTAAGGTAATTACTAAGAGGAAAATGAGTTAAAGTTAGCTCTGAAGACTGATGAACCCCGATGTAAACTTGCAAAATGTTGTATCATACAAGTTAATACTAAGACTCCCTCGTAATAAAATGTAAACTAGTGTTTTAAAAATGTTTTCAACCATAACATTCTTTTTTCTTTCTGTGATTACTTCTCTCCATCAATATCGCATTGCCTTTTGAATCTATTCCCAAAATATTTCTCCATTCATTCCCATCTGTTCTTTTCTGATGCTCTCAAAATCTCCATTATCGGCCAAGAACTTCCATGGGCTCTGTATCATACTTGAAGAGACAGTGATTAAGCTATCAATAATACACAATTTAAAAAATATATAAAGGTCTTACCCTACAATTTCATCTTTCTCTTTTTCCTTACGCCCCTCACTTCTCCATAAGTTCATCATCCAGTCTGGCTTGAGTGTTGCCAAATTGTGCACATTTGATTTAGATAACCTCATGCTATTTTTATTAACCTTTTCATTAAAAGCAGAGCTGTTAGTTGCTTTAAATTTCTAAGTTTGTGATTGTGAAAGGAAAATAGCTCTTTAAGAACAGATGAGTAAAGGTAATTGCTGAATTGAAAAAACTTTTGAAAAAACTAAGATTTAAAACACCATGGAGTTTATAGGGTATTATGAAGTTGTATACAAGTTAAATTCTCATTTTTAGAATTTCTGAAGGTATTAATGTTCGTTTTTCAGCCATTGACTCTTGTGTTGTCTGGAGAAACAGTGTCTGGCATGCTAAGGTTTTGGCCTCACTGTATGTTGCCCCTTCATCCATTTGTTCCGCTGACCCACACAATTGTTCTATGTTTGTGTTGTTGTCAATGTGATGTACTTGTCTTATTTGTTGATTATGTCTATTGTTTAAAACAATAGAGAAAAGGAGACCATCTTTTCAAGGATATTTTATCCATGACCGAGAAGCATCAGATGGCGGCAACACGGACAGTTGAAGAAAAAGCCCAGGCAGCAGACAAGGTGTTCACCTTGCATCCTTGGATCTACTCTTGCTTTTTCCTCTTTTCCTTTTATTTCTGGCCACAGCTATAAGATATTCTTTTTTTTTTTCTTATGTGGTAATCTAAATTTTTTGAAAATAATTTTTGAGCATTAAAACAGTTAAATGTCCATGTAGAGAAAGAAAGGGTCATTAGGTGAGATGTTGCAGAAATACTTTATTTGAAAATTCACATTTTGAAATGCAGACATATCAATTGATTTAATAAGTGACCCCAATTTTGATGTATGTGGCTGGCAGTTGGGAAACCATGCTTTCATGTGAAAATGCACTGTTTGTACAACGCTGTATATACTGTGGTGGTGTTAAAATAACAGAGTATATGCAAGTTAGGTTAGTAGTTTAGTAATTATCTTTGGAAACCTTTCGCATTTGCATTTTTAAGATTTTCAGTGGGGGAAAAAAGATTTTTTTGTT